ATATGATATGATATAATATGATATAATAAGATACAATATGATATAATATGATATAATATGTATCTACGAATGCCCATGCCGGTATCAATATCGTTGTCTACATTTATATCTACAGTCTATAACTGTATCTATCTGTCTGTTCAGATTCAGATCTATCTTGATCTGTATCTGATCTGGATCTCTACCTGTCTATCTATCCATCAATCCTTCCATCCACTGATTCATCCATCCACCCAAACATCTATCCGCATACATATGTTTCAATTATTTTATGTATTTTATTTCGAAGACGTTTGAAGACTATTTGGCGCCCATACAAGTATGTCTGGTCATGTCTGGTCCAGATTTTGACATGCTACATAGTTACTAGGCCTTCATAATTGGTCCTAGATTCGGAGATTCACAGCCTTTCACACACGACGATTGTGAAAAGTTGTCACAAAAGCCTTTTCTTTGGGCTCAGGTGAAAACGATGAAAGGTATCATCATGCAAAACACCACAACCTGAGATGTCTTGCTATGTGCATGTCTTAACAGCAAATATCAGCAAATCTCGTCTGCCAGTCTGCCAACCAAAACAAGGTCATAAATCAAAGGTGTTGCGACAGTAAGGTCCTCACACTAACTGCAAGCAGAATCATGGTGCCTTAGCGAAGAAAAACAAGAATGCTCCGAGTGTCCACCACTTCCTTTGTCATGGTTCCACATTTTTGCAACACCAGTCCAAGATGTCCAAGGTAAAACACAAACATCGCAAACAACATCATACAACCTAGCCCCGAGAAAGCAATGCAAACACATGAAAATCATTTCATGTTGTTTCCATAGTTCCAAGGAGCAGAAGAAACTCATCTGTCCGGATCGAAGTAGTTTTTTGCCACTTTCTGAATGGGCAGTCACATTGTCAAGGCCTTGGCGACACTGCATCTTCGCGAACCGCTTCTGCATCAGCATCTCTTTTGAAATTAACAACTATATCATTCTAAAATACATATTTCAACTTGCTATATGTTGCCATAATTTGCCATAACCTGCCCCTGAATTCAGAGTAAAAAATCTGTAGCGAAATCTTTCATCTCTTTGAGCAGGTTCAGTTTCCCAAAGTCTTTACTTGCACCCCTCCCTTAGCCCTTGCTCCAGAACCTAAAAACATGCAGTAGTGATCAGGAGTGTTCTTTCATTGTTTCTTGCATTTTCTTGCTACATTTCTCGACGCTCATCAGCTCACCACAAACATAGGCCCGGTTCGATTGGATGTATGCAAAATTATGCAACCATAGGCAAACCAATTTTGATTCCAGAAACCCGAATACACGTCCCGTATGTCCAGGTGATTCTTACTGGCCTTGCGTCTTGAGACTGTTGGGGTCAAACATGGTCAAACAGTGGAATGTCAACAAATGTCGGTGCTGGATATGGATATTTGTATCCTGTGTCTCAGTGTCTGCTGTTCTCAACCCGTCAATTTTGTCACTGAGACCGTGACTGCGCTGCTGAGATGAGTGCATATCCTACACTTGCATGTCTGATGATAGAACAAACAGGCAAAAACTGTTAAATCTGCTTACGCTTCATTTTGTTTGCAAACGATAGAACACGACTGAACAACTGGCCTCCAAACGTTCGTTGTCTTTCTTCAAGGTTTGAAGGAACACATTTGCAGCTCCTTGAGGGTACGCGCATTTTTCGCGCGAAAAACAATCTGAACGTTTGAACATTTCGAATCATTCTTGCACAGGGTCATGTGCAGTTGATTCGAACCTTTCATGTTCTCAGCCAAGTCGACCATTTCCGATTCCAAATTGTTTCGGGCCTGTCGCCGTGTTTCAAAACCCACACAAACATAAAAAACGACGTAATTATTGAAACCGCTTTGCTGCAATCGCCTCACCGTTTGTAGCAATTGGCCTGAATCTACTCAGCCAAAACTGCTTTAAATCGACAAAACGGGACAAACAAACAACTCAGTTCAGATTCAGTGACGTGCAAACGCGAAGGAAAGGGAACATGCCAGCCTGGTTTCCAAACGTGTGCCTCCACACAAGAGACACAAATGCAGTGTTTTTAACAAAAACTGCAAAAACTGTCGTTGTTAAAACTCTGCAAAGGATGAAATACGAAATCCAAAATAAACCCGTCCTTGGTGACCTTGAGAGCGACGCCATGGCCTTATCACTTTCAAATTCATTCAATTTCTATTTGATTCTATTTGTCGCAACCCAACATCTCGAAATCATATGAAATCATGAGATCCTTAGCCTTAGCTGCTGACACATCTCTCGGAAAACATGGTGTGTTTTGTTCCTTTGTCCAGGCAAAATGATCTAGAATTAAAAAACATATTTAAATCATTTTAAATCAATGTTTCGGAAAACAATCGTCCTGGACATTCGCAGAAAGTGCGGCTTGTCGGTGCGGGTCCTGACAGTCGGCATCAATCAGATTGATGTTTGTTCTGAAAACAATTCGAACTAATCATTTGACTTCATTTTGTTTTGGTTTGCAGTCCGCCTTTTGGACATGAGAAGTGCACTCTTCTTGTTCATTCTCTAGCCGGGGGAGTTCTGCTGCTGCAGGTGTCCTGGGATGCGACCCCGGCCAAGACACTCCTAAATACTACCAAGAAATGCGATGGACACGTACCTGAGGCTCAGGCTCTTTCTTCAACATGCAACCTAAAAAAACAATAAAAAACATAGAATTTGTTAAACAATGCTGGTTTGATTTGGTTCGTGCATTTAAACTCCCGCCCTGCCCCCCCCCCTCCGCAATAGGTTCTCGAGAACATGACTCAGTTGCTCCACCCTTGAGCGGTATTGTTCTGCCACATTGATGGGCAAAGCCTCCCAATGCCTCACTGAACATCGAACCAGCCTTTCAAATCCTTTCAAATCCTTTCAATGCATTTTGGATTCCATTGGATTCCATACTTGGATTCCATACACTTGCAGGAGTCACGATCTTCCCGGTGGGAAAAAAACTGCAACCTCAGGCCTCAACTTTAAGCGGTCTCGAAGCGCTAACTCATATGAAGCAACCTGATGGATCACAACGATTCCAGATGATTCATGATGATTCCAGTGTTTCAAAATGTTTCAAACGGGTGTCGGCTCTGTGCAGCATTGCACCTTTGCCTTCCGAATCTTCCAGTCACAACCCTCCTTAGGAAAGCCAAACAGTTGGAAGCACCTGTTGAACATATGCATATGCAACATAATATATATATATGTATATTATTATATATTTATATTTCCATAAGTTCTGAGCGCTTTGAGACCCACATTCAAAGATTTAAATTGCTTCATGACAAGTGTCTGCTATGCACTGTCATCCATCTCTCACAACAGCAAAATTGAAAACATGGCAACAATTCATTTACCCTTCAGCTAGCCGTGAGCATCTGTAAGCACGCAAATTATGTTTATGCAAGTCTTTTCATGCAAATAACAAGGCATGGGGGCCACTGATGCCATGTCATGCTCACGTGATTGGTGTGAGCCGCTGTTATTCAGAGCAGCCAAGTCTGCTTCCTGAGCGCGGCCAGACTTCAGAGCATTCTCGACATGTGCCAAGAGCAGCAAAAACCTCAGCTGGTGACAAACAAGGAGTGGTATCACAAAGATGATACAATCACAAGAATGACAACAAAATATAATGACATAGCCTAGCATACGTCTTCACCAAAATCCCTGAGGCAAGCACTCCGCAGCCAAAGGATGCAAACTGCCAACGATGTTGTAACAAACGCTCTCTGTCACGCTCAACTTGAATAAAGCAAGCAGAACTAGCTTGCCCAAAGCAGTCATGACACATGAATCCTTGCCTCTGCAGTTGACTGCACATGCTTCCTTCCTTTCCCTCCGCAGGAAGCCCTGTGAGTTTATGTGTTGCAATCTGGCAAAATCTTAATCTCTCCCTCTCTCTTCTACGTGTGCACAGCTCACCCCAAACCTGTGCTGGTAGGATCTGGTTCGCAATGCGTAGGATCGGTTTAGGTTCAGTCTGAGCAGCACCCTCTGAGCTCAAGCTGCAATCAGATTTATGACTTGCAAGAGTAAACATGGTTGAAATGTATATTACTATATTACTATGTATTACTTTGTATTATTGGAATACTTCTTCAGCTGTGGGCCGAAATGAGGCCTGCAAGTGAACATCATTCCTGCAAGCTCACATGCAAAGAATGATCAAAATCCTGAAATTTAGGAGTTGGAAGGTGAATCAGCACTTGACAACGCAGCAGTCTTTTGATAAGTCATTGGCATTTCTTCAAAGGAAGGGGAGAGGCGAGTATGCGTCTTGGCTTCACGCCACAAAAAAACAAAAACGCTACTCAAACTTGGATGATTCAGCTATATTCATCTATATTCAGCTTCTAGAAGTACCAGGGCATCTTTCAGTTGAATCAAATTGCAGTGGCTCGTACTGCTGCAGCCGCGACCTTGGGTATGTAGCAACTCCGAAAGGTGCGGCCATCTCAAAGTCGGTATGGTTGCTTCAAAAAAAAAATGACAAGCAACATGAACGCTACGCATTTTTTCGGTAACCCAGTGACACAACTGGAAAGGAACAAGGATACATCGAAAACAACATGGACGGCACTGGGGCACTACTGTATGTTGGGAATGGTTTTGACAGATTTTGAAAGTAGCTCAAGGATATCAAAAGGTCAACACGGGAGGTTCGGTGCGTACAAAGGGGTGAACTTGGTGAACTGCAAAGCAAACAAACATGGAGAAAGGATGAGAAAAGGAGGGTTGGGAGGCATTCGACTGAAATGACCTGGGTACATGTAGAGAGACCGTTGCAGTACCATTTTAGTGTTCAATGCAGTGTCAGAGCAAACTGCGCTTCCTTGTTCCCCTTTGCTTGGCAAAATTGAGCCTGCTTAAGTCCAAGCAAGGTCAGGGTTTTAAAATAATTGTGCCATAATTATTCCAACATCTCAACTTGCACGAATAGAATATTTTTCGGGAAAGATGTTGCTTGTGAATATAAGGGGGGGTAGGACAAGAGAAGGAACAAGAAGGAATCGAAAGGGAGAGGCACGATGCAAAAAAACATAATAAAGAAAAAAAAAACACGAAGAGGCAGGAGGGAACGTGATAGATCACATTCCAGCTTTCCTGATAAAGTGGAACACCAAACAAATGCAGATAGGATAGGTTCACAGGTGGTCCCCATGTGAGCTTAACATATGGAAGTCTGAGAATGCTGCAGTGGTTTGCCCACCTGAGTGTTGGCACGACAACTTGAAGTATCACATGCCGTGGCTTGTCTACATCCGATGTACATATCTCATTCCAAGAAAAACTGTTTTGAAGACCCCTGAGCGCGACTGTGATGGGGAAGTGCCTGGCCAACTACTCCCTACTATCATGAAGTGTGCGGGGCCCAACCCATTGACAATATTATAGCGACGGACAATCACTTAGAACATATTTGGGGGAAAAATTGACTACACTGAGAGCTATGTTTTAGAACATGCGAAAGTCACCACAAAGTCACCACAGTTAGAACATCACAAGACATTACGACATACACAAATTTACAAATATCCATTGACATAATGATAGTGGTTGACATACACTTAGAACATATTTACCAAAATTCCCGAGCTCACACTTAGAACCGCTTGTTTAAGGATTTTGCCCCACACCTAGAACGTCAACTTAGAATAGAACATCTGAGTAATATTGCACCCTGATATTCTAAGTGTGGAGCCTTTGCAAGCTAATGATTGCTTTTGAACATCATCATACATTATCACATCATCAACCCTGCGCGCATTTCATTTTTTGCCGCATAGCAATCATTTCAACCTAATTTTGATGCCTTTGTTCGAAGCTCGCCAGACAGCGGTTCTAAATTGTGAGATTGGAAAAATTCAGAAAATGATTTTCTAGGTGATTGTCCGTCGCTATAATCGCTTTCATGTGTACGTTTATATAGTTCGATAAATGCTGCATGAAATATTTATACGTATAGGATGAAATTGATTTTTGACTGCAGCCATAACCTTGTTTCGGGGCCCTGGGATAAAGTACGCTTCCTGTAGATCTTTCAACACTGGCAATGAGGTAGAGTACACTTCCTGTAGCTCTTTCAACAATGGCAATGAGGTAGATGTCGTCTCATGTTGGGATGATGTAGGTAAGCCTTTGGGATGTTCTAAGTGTGGGGTCTCCACAGCAGAATGCAAGCACACACACATATATATATATACCTATAGTATAACTGTCAGCCGAATTTTGAATCCAATGTGGAACGGGTAATCCTCTGATTTGATTCAGAAATCTTTGAGATGTGAACTTAACCTGAAGCACAATTGGAATCCCTTTGTACATCAACACTAAAGCGTAGTTGAATGAATATTCCAGCGCAATCCAAAATCGGATGTTCAAAGTGTATGTAAGTGTGGGGTCTCCACAGCAGAATGCAAGCATATATATATATATATATTGGGGGGTGCTGTGGCCTGTTTATCTGTTCCACAGCCCCCCCTATCTGGAACTATATATAAATTTTCAGGAACTATATTTAAATTCTCAGGAACTATATACAGATTCTCAGGAACTATATTTAAATTCTCAGGAACTATATATAAATTCTCAGGAAATTTATTTAGAATCTCAGGAATTTCAGGGGCTATGTAAAAGATATCAACATGTATGTTGTATGATTTCTGATGATTTCACGAATCTTGTCGATCTCAGTGCGACTCTGTTGCGGAGAAAACTGGGAAATATCAATTTCTCAAGCAAAGTTCTCGCAAAACTGGCCGGCCAAAGTTTTTTCCCCCATGTGTTGCTCCAAGCCTTCTGCTGAAAATTGCCCTAAGGCTCCACATTTATAAATGGTTGATGTGACAGATCCTTGGTAGCAAAATATCTTCAACTTGTAACAACCAAGTAGTTGGTATCATTTTGCGTTCCTATCTTCTAGTTTGGTTGTGACATTCCTGCAGGCCCCGATCGACTTCATCTTGCGCGGTTTCCTTGGAGACGAGCCTGTGGGACTGGCTTTGATCGATGGCTATTTCTTGTAGGAAATCCACCTTGAGTTCCTTGACCATCAGATGCAGGGTGCCATAGCATACTGACAGTATCATTGTTACGTTCATTCATACTGTATGAATTGGGAGATTCGAGAAGTTAGTAAACCTCGCTCACCAGACACTTGGATGCTTGTGATTCATGACTAAACCTTACCGTGCTATCACCAGAATCATTTTCAGATTTTCTCTTCCTATTCCATATTGACATTGACTTATTCAGTGGGTGATCTCCCGGAAAAAGGTTAAAGTTTAGGCGTCGTCTGAGTAAGTTGATTTACTCTTGCGTCGTATGATATGGACGGACCCTGTAAAACTTCATTCGTACAGTATAAAGAGAGGTATTCGTAGCTCAGAAAGTTGCACAATTGTCAATTGCGATGACTTACTTTCTTGGTGGCTTACAAGAGCTCAATCTGAAAACGAAATCAAAGTCCACTTGTACATCCACACATTGTATCTAGTTTTTGAGAACATCAACCTAGTCTAGTCTAGTTCAGCGGTCCAAGCCCGGGCAGCCACTGAGTTCTGCCGATTTCGGGCTGCCACAGAGCCGCCGTCGGGTCTACATTTTGATGGCTCGCAAAGATTTGGTTTCCTACCAAGTCTTCAATGACGTGGTGAAGTCCATTGAGGATGTTTTGACCCAAGTTTTTCCTGTCAGGACAGGTTGGCCGATGTGCGGGGCCATGTGGAGATCACTTCCGAGTACAAGACGGGCTACAAGTTGCATTTCCCTCCTGCAGCCAAGGACCCTGAGCAGCAAAAAGCGCGTGTGGCCTAGACACATCATCTTTTAACAGTCCCGGGCCCTGGTTTATACCTCAGCCTGACGCCGGTCCTCCTAAGTGAGACGACCTCTAAGTGTGGACTTTTTTCCCGGCAGTTTTCCGGAACACCAAAACCACTGCTGTCCTGGATTGTCAAAAAATGTCCCTTACTAAACTATATACCGGAACTATATTTAAATCCTTTGGAACTATATATAAAATCTTCGGAACTATATATAAAACCGATCTCGGTATATCCTCTCGAGGACTGGCCGCCAGGTCCGCCACAGACCTTAGGCAGACCCCAGGTCAAACGCCCACAAATTCCCTGCGTTTCGTCAGCCTGTGCTCCCAGGATGGTGTGATCAGTGCATCCAAACGACGCCAGCAATTTGTCAAGGATTGCCAGAAGAAGCTGGGGCTGGGAAGCGGGATGGAGTTCTACACTGAGTCCCATCTGGAGCCACACCAGAAGGCCATGCTTAACACCCGAGAAGCAGAGAGCCTGAATATCCAGTTTGCCTCTTTGGTTGTTACTCAGCTTTGCTTCGACAGTGGTGGGATGGGATGATACTTCCGTCTGCTCTTTCCAAGATCCCTTTTTGCCAAGCCACATTCTAACCATGTCATCTTAAGATTTTGACCAAGGGGGAAACGACTTATAACTTCTAAGTTTGTAACGGTTTCTTGATTGACTTTGTCATGTTGGCTGAAAAAAAGACAGAAAAAAAACAAAAAATGAAAAAAAATGAAAAAAACACAAACCATCTCAGTATTGGTTCAGAACCGTTCGGAACCGTTCTGAACTCTATATTTTTTTTTGGCGAAGAGTAGTTCGGAACCGTTCGGAACCGTTCTGAACTATATATAAAAACAAGTTGCAGAAGTAGTTCAAAACCGTTCGGAACCGTTCTGAACTATATATAAAACATGCAGCAAATATAGTTCGGAACCGTTCGGAACCGTTCTGAACTATATATAAGATATGCTTTAAATATAGTTCGGAACCGTTCGGAACCGTTCTGAACTATACATAAACTCTGTTTATAT